GGGACATTTTATTTCACTTCCTGTCCCTGTGACACCTGTATAAGAAGAGGGGAGAGCAGTTGTCACCCACTAGGGGAGGTGCAAACAGAAACAAAAAAAACAGCACAAATATTAACCCTTACCCACTCTAGGTAGAATTCCCATCCATTCTTATCCTGACAGGAAGTTAAGGAATATATATCTAAAAAGGTCACCTAAAAAAAACTGACAAAGGCTTTCACCCTCCCCCCATGCTATCCAAAACCTAATAAATGTATTTTGTTGGAGTTTGGCTATAAGTTGTACTTGCCACTCATACACATTAGAGGGCAGCCATTGTTACAAGCAGCAGGGAATTGCTGGTTAAGAGCTGGGGGGAAGGGGGGTCGTTGGAGACTCCTGGTTATTAAATAGGTAATCTAAATGTATTGTGACTTCTATCTACATCTCAAAATATATTTGACCACCTGTATGGTTGCTTCTTAGCCATGTGGCTTCTTAAAAAATGAAATCAGCTTTCCATCCCCTATGATGAAGTCCATCATAGGGGATGGAAAGCTGATTTATTTTTTTACAAGCTAATTAAAGCATACAAGTCGTATGCTTTAATTAGTTTGTAAAATAAAATAAAATCAATAAAGATAAACTAAAACGGATACAGCTATAAGGTGGTATTATCTGTCCTCCATTATGGTCTATAGACAAACCCAATGCTTCTTAGTAAGCTGCACGCTAATGTCATGGCACAAGAACATTTAAAAAAAATGATGTTTAGAACTGCTTCAGGTAAGTTGTTGTCTGCTTATGTTTAAATGTACATGCTATCATACATTATTCTGCATGTTATTTTATCGGGAAAGCACACTTTGAAATATCTGGTATGCTAAATACAATAAAGTCACTTTCAATCTGTGTTTTCTCCTTCTTGGACATGCTTCCAGGAAATACATTGTCCAATATTATCTGCTCAGTGTTTGTCCTGCAGATAGTTTATCTGAGGCTTGTGCTGTGCTCATTCTTTGAGGGGGAAAAAGAAGAGTACATGCAAACAGAGCATTTTCTTGTGACTCTTCATTTGTGGCTGTATTCATAATCATATCTAAAACATGTGAAGCCTAAATTTTAAAATACATCCATAATAACTTGAACTTGAATAAACTGAATACAAGATAATTAGTATTAGGCCAGCCATAGATAAAAAAAGATGTCTATTTAAGAAAGATAAACACCAGCCTGCTTTTTGCAGGACTGGGATTGGCTGCTGTAATCAAGCGTACTTCAAGTAGATGTAAACCTTATCAGAAAAATCTCATATAAGCTTTAAAATGTGAATGTAATTTCAAAAGCCATGTTGTATGCATTCAAATCTGCAGCAATTAAATAATACCTAACAATCCTACCATGAAAATTCTTGTTCGGGCACTTCCTGTGCCTGTGAGGGTGACAGTGCTCTGTCCCTGTCTCCCAGCTGTGCTCCTGTGTTGTCACCCTGTCACATGGGCTTGTGATGGAGAATACAAGTGGCTATTCCAACACACATTGCACAGGATAATCCTCTGTTGTCATGATCAGTAAACCTGCCCTGAGAAATGCTGCAATGCAGCCTTGACTAGGCATATAGATAGGAAGGGACTGCACTGGGATGCTACAAAGGATTTTAAAGGAGATGATAACTCATTTTGTTTAAATGTTATATGTTAACGGTACGCAGTGCTTTAGCAACCTAAATGTCATCCAGATAATTGACTTCCGAAATATTGTATCATGCACTGTATTTGGGGGCAAGATTAGGCTGTTCATGGACACATTTTACTGTAGAACTCTGATTTCATAGATTATTTCAGATAACAGTAGAAAGGACAAACATGATGTTAAACATGCAGTAATCCATAGAAACTAACCATATGTCTTGTAGAGCAATAGATCAGAGCAAGGTTAATTTCTAGTTGTTGCTCTTAAATACTGCAGGTCTTACAATGCATTATGCCTTACCAAAATGGCTATTTTTTTAAAACCACATACATTTTTAAATACAGAAGAGAAACAGCTCCAGCCAAAATGGTGTACATGGAAGCTTTTTTATACTTTATTCAGTTGCGACACGTCATTGTTCATGAAAAATGTGCCTTGCCAACTGTTCTTCCTCATTCACCAACTCTGTGTGGCATGAGTTTTTATGCAAAATTTTTTCATTGCTAGCATGGTTTGAATTAGAGAAAACAGCATTATGTTGTCATCGGAGATTTGAGAATTAGAACATTTTTCATGGATCAGTTATGTTTTTCCACATCGTAATTAGTGATGGCCGTTTGTTGCAAATTGCTATGGAACGAAAGTGTCCTGTTCCCTGAGGCGATTTAATTTGTCTGTGTGAAGTCACATAGGGTATCTGGCAAAATATTTGATCACAGCTGCTCCTGCTATGGACACCAGTTTTGCTGGGAACTTATTTGAATAAAGTAAATGGGATGTCATTTGTCAAATATACAAAGTAGTCTAATAATCAATAAATACATTTTTCCAAATACAGCAAATTAATCTCTTAGTTTTACTTTATACATTGAAAGACCTTGTCCACTGGTTAAATATGCAAAATATTTTTATTCAATTTAATAAAGTATAATCTTACATATGAAAGTTTAAAGTAGAACTATGGCCTACCATTAAAAAAAAATTTGTTGCAGGACTTCATTTTAAGTTCATCTCCACTTACTGTTTTCCTTTAGTTTCAATGCAAACTCCTACAAATACGAGTTGAGCCTGCCAGTGAAGTTCACCAATGCAGCTTCCTAAAATGAGGCGGCAAAAATGCTGCACTTCCCCTGATTTCAAAGCAGAGTTGCTACTCTCATATAGGCTGTACCTGCTTGCACTACAGTCAAATGAAAAAATTTTGCAGTGGTGCATGCATGCAGCAGTGGAATATAGTCAGTCACTGATACTACTCCTCGCACATCTGGCATAAACTCTGCTATATAGCCGCTCATATCCCTATTCACCTGTTAAATAGCATTCAGAATATTACCTGCCTTTGTTGGTCCAGCTGAATGATAGGACCCACTCTTCTGGGGAAATATTGAAAATGAATATAGAGAGACAGGACCCCCCATATGACATATGATATTGTACAGTACCCCATGGTGGAT